TAAATGATTGATTATTATATTTATACCTATAAAAAATAAATTAAAGATATTATTTTATAAATAATTTTTATTTAATATTTTTTTAACATATAAACACATGAATATATATTTAGTATCCACAACCAAATATATTGGAAGGAAATAATAAATCATGTTACATTCTTTACAGTAAATTAGCAATTAAATAATTTAATAAACATTATCATTCTTTGTAAAATATAAAATAACATCTTCAATTGAAGGTCTATTTTTAACTCTATCATTCATCATAGATTTAGTAAAATCATCCAACTCTTGACTCATCTCAAAATAAAGAAGACCTAAAGAATAAACATCACTCTTGAAACAACAATAATCATCTAATACTTCCTTAGCCATGTATTTTCTGTTACCATCTAACTTTATTAACCCAGGTTCCTGGCTCACATTAAAATCACAGAGAATGAATTGCTTTTGAATAGAATCAAATAATATATTTTCAGGTTTAATATCATTGTGTATTAAATTTAATTTGTTTAATTGCTGAATACCTTTAGCCACATGCAAGATTATTTTATCAATTAATTCCTTTTTTAATTTTTTATTATTTAAATTTGCATATGCCAAAATGTCCTCCAAAGAAAGCAGGTAAAAAGGCATTTGTATTGTAAATTGACTTCCTTTTAATGAAGCATATTCGATCTTAGCAAGATGATTTTTCACTGAGGAGATCTTTTTTATTGTAGAAGTAAAATCATTAGGAATTTTTCTCTTATTCTTAAGCACACAGATTGGTGTACAACCATTGGTTTCAATGGAGCACTGCTCTAAACATTCTATGCATATACAATCTTTACAATTAATGCATAATTTTATTTCCTTATTAATGGTCAAACATTTAAATTTGACAAAATTTTGTCTAAATTTATTAGGAATTTCTTTTGTGCAAATAAATTTTGACAATTTTTCTTTTATTTCTGCATCAGAATCAAGGCTATCAACAATCAGCTCAAAATTGCAATCTTTAGAATGGTTTATTCCGATATAACAATCAAAAAAACTTCCTCCGTTAAAAAGAAATTCTGGTTGGATAATATTTCCTGCGACTATAATATTTTCCTTTGCTTCTTCAATATTTATTTTAGAAGAATGCATAGAGTTACTATGAGAGAAATCAGTGAGTGTAAAAGAATGACTTTTCCCCATTTGTTTCTTCTTATAAGGAGTTGAAGGTTGATTTTGTTCATTAAAAATCATAGGTTTATAAAACTATTAAATTAATAAATAATTTATCAATTAAGTTTAAATAACTTTTTAAATTTCAATTAATCTAATCATAAATGTTTAAATTAAATATAAAATAATTTAAATTAATCTTTTTGGCTAATATTAATCAAGAAAGAAACAAATAAAGAATTAATTATGAATAAAATATTTTAAAAAATTTTTAATAATATAAACTATTCAGATTTTATTAAGTAAGTTTAATGCATAAACAAAGTATTAACCTCATACTCTTTAAATTTACTGATTTTAAACTGCGTTTTAATTAAACATATAATTATTTTTATGGTAAAAGAGCATAGAAAACAATGTATAAGAATTTAACAATTAAGTTTGTGATAAAAATATCATATTACAAAAAAAAATAAGAAAAGACAAAAGAAAATAAAATATTAGCAATAAAAATTAATATATTCTTCGTTATAGAAGATAGTTTAAAATATGAAATTGGATAATATAAATTTTCGACTTTATTTTTTGGATTCTCTTCCTCTAAAGTATGCGAAGAACAATTATATCATCCCAATATGTTTACTTTATTGTTATTAAAATAAATTTAAATAATAATAAAAATTCTTAAAACCTCCTTTTTTAGAATTTTAATCATAATTATGCTTTTTAATCTCTCTAAGTTGATTGAGAAAAATATATATTGGTAGTATAACTATTTTATAAATAAAATTATTAAAAAGTTTTGGAATCAAACCATTTTCTCCCATTGAATTTTAGGAAATATGAAAATTAAAATTACAATAATATATGGTATTTTTAAAGAAGCACAAAATATAATCCAAGATGTTAACATTGAAAGAACAAAAATTTTGGATACGCATTAAAATAATAGTATCCATTATTCAATGTAAAATAGGATTCTGAATATAGGATTATGCTGCATATTATATTTTATGCATGGCAAAATAAACAAAATGTTTGGTTGCATGAAATGTGAAATGATATGTAGTATTGATTCTTTCAGAATATATTCCTTATAAAATTATATGTCTTTTGAAATATTTTTTTTGTGAATTTTTAAAATTGTTAAAATAATATTAGATATACTCATAACAATTATTATTCACAATGTAATATTTTAGACGAAACAAAGAACTTATCTACAAAGATACTAACAAATTTAAAGGCCGATCTCAGAGACATATTTAAGATAGAATCTACTGTGTGACTTGAATTAGTCTGAACTGATAAGATTATAACGCTCTTAAATGTAAAAATCATTAGGGCATTTTGTATATAATTAGATTGATACAATTTCAATTGTAGAATGCAATAAAGCAATAACCAAATAATGTTTTTTTAGGATTAGGAGCCTACAGAGTCATAAAATAATAAATTTAAAAGAAAAAACACCTTATAAAATAAATGCACATTGAATAATTAAAAGGATTTTATAAGCCAAGTATTGAAAATCAAATATATTGGTAAAAAGAAAAACAATTAATTAACTTGAAGAAGAAGTGACCAGTTGCAATGATTATTCCAAATTATAGGGAAAATAAACATTACTAAGTATACCTGGCGGTATTGTTATGGACACGGCAAATGTTATCAGGCCGAAATCTCCACTAGAAAAGACCTTTAGTATAAATATAACAATTTTAAAATAAATTGATAAACATTTTAATCAGGAGTCAAAAAAACAATCCTTGAAGTCAATATTAAATATCATAAGATTTTCACAGTTTACTCTTACGAAAATTATAAAAATAGCTTAGGTTTGTGGTAACCCACAAAACAAGAAACTCGGGTTCATATCCCAGAATAGAAATATTTAATTTAAGGTAGCAAATATTTAAATAGAAGCGTACCCGAACGCAATGGTGTTCAAGCAAAAGACTAAGATTAATTTTCATCTTCTTTTTTTAAAACGGTATCTTGTACTTTAAACACTTATTACATAGCATTTAGCTTGTGATTAAGGAAATATTTAACAAAAAAATCAAATTTAAACAAAAATACTAGGTGGGGTTTCAAAGATTGTGCAAGTCGACGAGACCATGCTCAATTTTAAATTATAAATCAGCCGAGAACGCCCCCCATACAATAAAATCGATGCCCACTACATAAATAAGCGCATTACTCACATTACTAAAATATGGGCTCAAATCATGCTCAATAGAAGCTCAAACAATAGTCTCCATAATTTAAAAAAAAGTTTTACGGGTTTAATTATAGGCACTGGTGAACAATAAGCTTTATCATCGCTAGTCAAAAATGGATTTATTTATAGAAGAGGGAGGCATAAATTTTGTTTTGTAGATAATCAATCAGGAGTTCATACATAACACATTTAATTATTCAATAGTGAATATAAAATTGAAATGTAAATTAAAAAGAGATTTAAATTGAAAGTAAAATGTATTTTATGACTGATTTAATATGATAATATAATAATTGTGATAAGACATTTGAAGAAATTATGTACTTTCAGATAAAAAATCTTAAATAAATATATTAAACTAATTTTAATTTATAAATTTTTTATATTTTAGACCTTTAAAATACATGCTCTATTTTAGGCTGTTAAAAAAACAAGTCTCACCACTTATTAACCCTATTCCAACGGTAAGACGTGGTAATCACTTCTGGGTATATTTCGTCTAGTGTGCATATCTTAAAAATTTACATTGCGATATGTGGTGTATGACAGGAATAATGGTCATATCCTTACTATCAATATTTTTTATTTTGGATATAATTTTATAAATAAAATATAATTTAAGTATGAAGCGATGTCAGCAGAACCAAAAAAATATAACTAAAGAAATAAAGAAAACATATTTATGCCTTATAAATTGAATTCAGATTATTAAAATATGTGTCTTTTAGACAGAAATCCATAGTAAGAACACCTCCTGGTGGTACAAAACAACATTGTCGTACCTAAAAAAATTAAAGGCGGATAGCAGAAAGCTAATATAAACACTAAAACCTTTTTCATTTATATCCTCTTGAAGTCTAGTCATACTACTTTCTTTCCATTTTATTTATACTTTATTATAATTTTAGATTGATTCTTTTTTAGTTAAAGTCTGATTGTATCAATCACTTTAAATTAAAGCAATTTTTAAAAGACAGTTTTAAATATCAAAAAAAAATTTTGAATTCACTTTAAATATAAAAGAATATCTGAAAAGTATTCATATTTTGCTACTTCTTCAACAAACATAATCGATTTTCGGAGTCTTGGTATTCGGCATTGCACTTATTGCAGTAAGAACTTCTGGCCATGACATTTAATTATTGCATTTTGTCTAGGGCGATGACATACACATAATCCTTTTTTAATTATTATTGACTTGATTTTATGGGCAAACTCTTTCTCACAATATTTTTGCTATTTGTTATGCTGCGTACTATCTTAAGCCAAATCACTAAAATAACTCTTCAGACTTCATTTTTCTCCTTTTGTGTCAAAGCACATTCCATCTTAAATATTTTTTAGGTGGCAAGATATGAACTTTGGTATCTCTTCTATCAGATCCTTGTTCAAAAATTCACAAAATTAGATATTTTCTCTTACTATTTCGGTGCAGAATTTGTGTATTTTCTTTTCTTTTTGAGACACCTATCTTCCTAATAGTCCTCTTGGCTTCGTAATAAAAGTATATCAATTCCAAAAAAAAATAATTAAATATCAATATGCTTTTTATTTATATTTTATATTTTTAAAAAACTTAAATAAAATTAATAATGTATTTAGAAATATTTTACAAAAATAAAGGCTACAGAGAGAGTCGAACTCTCGACCTTCTCCTTACTAGGGAGACGCTCTACCACTAAGCTATGCAGCCATAATTCACTTTGGATCCTCATTGATATCATAGACAAAAAATTGTTGGGGAAAGCAAAATTTAATTATCTAAAATAGTGAAAACGCAAATAAAAAAACAAAATTTATTAAATAAATAAATCACTAATTAAAAGTGATCTGACTAATTTCTCAATCATCCCCCAAAACAACAAGTAGCGAAAGAATTCCTCCAACAAGCTTTAATTAAATCAATTCATCCTCAGACGCAAAGTCTTTAAATATTTTATCCTCCTTTTTGTTCTCTAGAATATCACTTTTATTACTTTCTTTATTAAAACTTTCCTCTTTCTTATAAAAGTGGTCTTTATGAAATGAATTGGTTCTTTTGTCATCATAACCTCTTCTGTTTTCATGTCCCCACTTGTTGTCATAATTTCTTCTTTTGTCATCAAAAGTCTTTCTATCATCGTAGCTTCTTTTATCATCATATGTCCTATTAAAATTATGTCCTCTGCCATCATAATTTCTTTTATCATCATAAAACCTTTTATTGTCAAAGCTTCTTTTGTCATCGTAATTCTTTTTATGATCAAAACTTCTTCTGTCTTCATAGGTCTTTCTATCATCATAACTCCTTCTTCCATCAAAATTCTTTTTGTCATCATAGCTTCTTCTGTCGTCGTAAGGCTTTCTGTCATCATAATTTCTTCTATCTTCATAAGACTTTTTGTCATCATAACTTCTTTTTGTTGTATCAAACTGTCTTCTATTAGAATCATAATATCTTTTATCTTCATACCTTTTACCATCATAGACTCTTCTATCTTCATATTTCCTGCTATCTTCTGACCTTGAATCTAAAATACTTTCCTCTACTTCTATTTTTTCAAGCTTCCTTTTTCTCATTTCAAAAAACTTGCTTTTATCAATCATCATTGGGTTATTGATTCTCCTTATATCAAAGTAACGTCGACTCATAGAAATAGGTTTATGCATGGAATTAAGCTTATCAAATATTATAAAGTAATTATTAAGGTAAAGATTATCCCAGTCAGTAAAAAATGTAGCAGGAGAATTCAGAAATGATAACCTCACTTCTTCATATGATAATTCAATCATTCCTGGTAATACTTGTGAATGTATCCAGAGTGGTGGATCGAGTAACCATGTTGGATGTTGATTTCTGCATGTCCCGGGACATTCCTGATTAAAACATGGTTGCATGGTAAAATAAATGAATATTTTAGTTAAATACTTTTTAAAAGATAAATATAAT